TTATACATGAGTTTCTGTGGATTTGTTTCTCTAAAGTTCCCAGACTAACACAGAGCCCAAATCAATACCTTAACTCTTTAACTTGAACAAACAGAAAAGAACAAATAGAAAAAGTTTACCATACAGAAGAGACCATAAATCTAGGCTACGGGATGACACTGAGGAACCACATAACTATGCTCTAGTTCTTCAGTATTTCCTCCCCTTACTATTATGGTTTTTATTTTGTTTTACCTCATTAATCATGTTAGATTTACGTATGTTCATTTGTATATTTAAGATTGTTCGGTACATGAAAGTTAGGACAGATAACCCATCAGAAACAATAGCAAGAGTAATTATTCCCTGACAGTATGGGAAGAGAGGAATGGGGGAAGGGAGGGATTGGGGAGCTGACAGCACTGATGACTGTATAACCCCACTCAATGGGACTGAACAATAAAATTATATGTGAATGGATATATTGGATTGTGCAAGATAGGGGTAAAAAACATTGTCCAAAAAAATTGAATAAGGGTTGGGGGGATGGTATGGGGGGAGGGGATAGGGGGAGCTGTCTCAAGGAATTCAAGAAGAAAAGAAAATGTTTTGCAACTGATTGTGGTAGCAACTGTACAATACTGCTTGATGTAACTGAATTATGGAGTGTTTCCAATAAAAGGTCCCAATAAAATGATTTTTTAAAGTTTATAGTCAGTAAAGGAGATAATACAGATGAGGGCAGAAACAAATAGAACACAAAACGAAAAGAATCTGTAAGACTAGAAGTTAGTTCTTTGAAAGAATGAATAAAATCAGTAAACGTCTGGTCAAACTAACAAAGACTAAGAGTGAGAAAATGCAAATTATCAAAAGAAGAAATGAGGTGGATGATATAACAGGACCAAGGAAATAAAAAAGATTATAAAAAGATTATGAAAAAATATTATCCCAACAAATTTGGGAACCTAGGTGATGAATTTCCAGAAACAATCTATTAAACTAATACAAACTGAGGTAAAAATTTGAACAGATCCAGAACAAAAGAAGAAATTAAAAGGTCAGTATAAAAAAAAGGCCCTAACCTTGATAACTTCACAGGAAAATTCTATTAAACTATCACACAAGAATGAAAGAAATGCTCCCAAATTCATTCCTGAAATCATGACTGAAAATAAAACTATAAACCAATATCCCTTACAAATAAAGATGTAAAAATTGTCAACAAAATTTTAGCCACTAGATTTCAACAATGTAAATCTCTAAAATTTATTAAGAATATCAATACTCAACAGTCAAAAAGCAAACAATCCAATTTTTAAAAATGGAAAAAAGACATGGACAGAAAAAGACAAATATAGTATAAACTCACTAAGATAAAAAGTCAATAAACATTCTATGATGGTTATCAATTTTAGGGTGGGGAAGGAGGAAATATCACTAACTAGATAGTATACAAGTGTTAATTATAGAGAAGGGTAAGGAAATACACAATATTCAGGGAGAAAGCACAAAATGACCAGGGCAAAGGAAGACACTTGGTACTCAAGAATAAAAGACAACTATAGCCAGGAGGAAAAAAAAGAGCCTGGTAGCTTAGTGGGTTACATTTTAGGCTGCTAACTGCAAGGTCAGCAGTTCAAAACCACCAGCTTGCTCAGCAGGAGAAAGATGAAGCTATCTGCTCCCCTAAAAGATTTATCGTTTCTGGAACCCACAGGAGGATTCTATCCTGTCCTACAGGTTGCTATTAGTCAGAATCAACTTGATGGTATTAAGTTTTTTGAGAAAGTAGATGCTATTACTTAAAAATCTTGCAAGAACAGTAACAACAAGCCATAATTTGTGAATAGATACTTAGGTAAATATATAGGCTAAATAGATGAGGGAAGTTGTACAGATATAGCTGTGTAAATGTCTACATACAAATTTATAAAAACAGCATGTATACTCATATAAATGATAGAAACATAGGGGATACATTTATAGAAAGTACTTGGAACTGAACAATTAAGATTTGAAGACTAAGGAACATTGTCTTAAGGGGTATCTAGGATGACGGGCAAACATAGTTCCTAAATATAATGTTCTACATCACAGTCTGGTGAGTAGCACCTAAAATTGCAAAAGCTTTGAAAGCCTCCTCTATCCTGAGATCAGAAGCTCTAGATCAGTGGTTCTCAACCTTCCTAATGTCACGACCCTTTAATACAGTTCCTCCTGCTGTGATGACCCTCAACCATGAAATTATTTTTGTTGCTACATCAAAACTATAAGTTTGTTACTGTTATGAATCATAATGTAAATATCTGATATGCAGGATGTATTAGGTGACTCCTGTGAAAAGGTCGTTCGACCCCCAAAGGGGTCCCGACCCACAGGTTGAGAACCACTGTTCTAAATGGTTCCTCAACACTACTACCAACCAACCTCGGAGTACTACAATAGAAGATCCCAGGTTAAGTAGAACAGAACTCAAATTAAAAAATAATAATAATAACAGACTTACTGGTCTCAAAGTGCGGTACCCCAAAACTGTCATTCTAAACAATCTTCTAATTTGAAACTGAATACACTCCCAGAGACCACCCTTTTAGATAAGCCTAACACCAAAGAAGAATGTGTTCCTTAGAACAATCAACTAAACGTTTACCCACAATCAAAGATGAATAGGCAGAAGAGCCAGATAGAGGAAATAGGGAACCCAGGAAGGACAAGGGGATAGTACTGACATACATCCAGTGTCACAGAACAATTTGTGTATAAATTATTGTTTGGAAAACTAATTTGCAATGTAAACTTTTAAGTGAAAGCTAAAAGTTTTAAGTGATAGCCGGGCACCGTCAGCTTTCTTCACCACATTTGCTTATGCACCCGCTTTGTCTTCAGCGATCATGTCGTGACAGGCTGGTGCGCTTCTTACATGTGGGTTTTGTTGTTTCTCACCTAGATGGCCGCTTTTTTATCTTCAGGCCTTTAAGACCCCAGATGCTATATCTTTTGAAAATAGCAGGGCACGATCAGCTTTCTTCACCACATTTGCTTATGCACCCATTGTCTTCAGTGATCATGCCACAAAGGTGAGCATCTCAGACTGCCGGATTGTTAGAACAAAGGGTTCTTGTGTTGAGGAAGTACTTGAGCAGGGGACCACTGTCCATCTGTTTCCTTAATACTAAACCTATAAACATATGTATATAGATATATTTACCCCTCCTCATATATAAATGTATTTACAT